AGCCCAGTCCTACACCCCTTTCATCAACACTGCCAAGGATTGCTTAGTTTCATTACTTGTGCTGTCATTTCTCACTCTGGGAATCAGCATCAAGAGTACTAATTACAGAAGTCAGAATACAGTAGGCTGAAATAACAAATGCACAGGGAAATTCTCCCTCAAAATAGGATAAAAAGGACAAAAGGGATTCGTTTCCTGCATTAATGCACAATTTGTAAAGCAGGTTAAGGATGGATTTCAAATGCAATTCAACATTATTGTTGTTCATATTATATTGTGTTACCCAAGTAGGCTGGGGTCTCATCATAATAGAGGTTGCACACAGACCAAATATATGGCAATTGCATATTTTAGCATACATTAAAAAAAATAGTGATTATATCATAAAATAGTGCCTAGCGCTTAGTTAAACATAGTAAGTTTGATGCAAACTTAGGGTTAACTATGTGAGGTAGCGTTGTTAATAAATAACCTTGATTTAGGGGATTTACACCTGTGCTAATTTTCTTACTCATACTTTCTTTAGATAAAAACTGAATCTAATTGCAGCCTTCTAATTGCTGACTGGTCAGGTGTAGTCTTGTATATTATCAGGCTCTTTTGGGCATGGTCAATAACTGGAAGGACACTGAAGGAAGTTTAGAAATTCCTGAGCAAAAAGGTTAGAAAGAGACAGAGTACTCCACACAATGTGCCTTGTTTAATTTCTTCTAATGGTGCCTAGGTATCACATAGGTTTGCTTCTAAAATGTAGAAATGAAGGGAAGAAGCCAAGATAACCTAATTCTAATCTCAAGGGAAAACAATATCAACTTTACAAGAGATAATTTCCATGCTTCCACACATCTCCGAGGAGGTGGAAAAAATAATTTGTCTCTGCACAATAGGTTCATCTGTGACAAGCTACTTTTTATGTATGTTTGCCATGGTCACTCCAGTTTAACAGCCTGGGTATGCTCATCTACCAAGCACTAATACATACTAATGAGAATTGAGCAAGGTTGAGGTGGAAAGAGGATTGTGTCCTGAAAATATGACTAAATAATGCTTTGAAAGTAGACTATTTTAAAATTGCAATTTCACTAAGGGAATATGCTTTCTTATCCCTCTCCTGGTTTTTAAAATGCAACATATGGCAAAATCATCTTTAACAACCACTGAAAAACAGTATGGCTGTAGTTACAAATTAATTAAATCTTAAACGCAAGCTATACCAGCTGCAATTTTGCTTTTCTAGTGTAGAGAGTTAAGGTTCCATGACAGATTCCATTCTAAACTATTAGCATTTAAGTTGCTCGTCATTCTTAAGCTTTTACAGTTTTTAGGATCAATTTTTTTCAGAGTTTGGCTCTGAATCTACAAGGACATCCATGTGGGAATACGGGAAGAAGCTTCATTTCAAAGGAGGTACCTTCATTCCCACAAAGTTTAAATGAAAATATTCAACTGTTATTGAAAGAGAGGTAATACATTTCTCCATAATAATAATAAAGACAAAATCTTGCAACTTTTTTTAATAGCACGAACAGCAGAAATAGCTGAGGACAGAAAGTTGAAATTTGACATAGAAATAACCCTCACTGCGGAAAAATGCCTTTGAGTATTTTATTGAAAACTGTTTTTGATTTGACTGAGATAAAAGTCTTTGAAAACTGCACTGTCTGCATACATGTCTGAGGAAAATTTTTTGCTAAGCTTTTAAAACGCACATCTATGGAAGGCTGTTTTGCACGTAAATGCAGGGCTAACCAGCTATGT